GGGGGGGGGGGGGGGGGGATCACTGCATTTAAGAAGGCTGGCCCTGCGAGTTGAAGCCGCTGATTAGCCACATCTTTTTATTTATTTACCCATTTCGTCCTGCTTTAATCATAAATAAGGCGGTGAAATGCGGGTCAAGCTGCAGACCTCATGAAAGGATCGCCATCTTAACGCTGCTGTGATGTGAAGGGTGGCTACCTGTTAATTCTCCCGACGCTTCCGTCTCACACAGACCCGCAGACACGTCCCCAAAACGCCGTGCACGTTTTCAACCCGTCTTTACGCATTAAAGAAGGGAGCCCGGGTGCAGTTCAGGGCCGATCCGGAGAAAAAAGTTCCGTGTGTCACGATCCGGGTTTCAGAAAACAGGCGAACGGAGGAGGAGGAGGAGGAGGAAGGCTCCACACATTTCCATTTCTCTGCTGCTGCTGGAGCTCCGGGAGGAAGATGAAATGTGGAGGTCTGCTCCTCTTCTTCAGCTCCTCAGCACAAACATCCTGCTCCGTGTGCTGTGGAGGAGGAGGTGGAGGAGGAGGAGAAAACGGAACGGTTTGGGCCTCGATTCCTCCGGCTCGCGTCAAAGACCGTCCATTAAACACGGTTCAGCCCGTTTTTGTTTTTTTCTACTGCGAGTCTTCGTGACGTTATCCTCGTTTCCTTCCTCTCTCCGGCTGCCTCCTCCCTTCCTCCGTATGTCGGGACTGCCTCCTCGGACTCACCGAGTCGAATCTGCGCGCAGAAAATTAAAATGACCCAGACCCAAACGGTCCTGAAGACATTTTCAAAATGCTGTGCTCTGCGATCATCTGCGCTGAGATCAAACGTCGGCAAAGATCAAAAGAAAGCTGCTGCTGCTGCCAGGGGCTCATTGTGGTCACCATGGTAACCACACACCTGAGCCCGCCCCTCCTTGGCAACCTTCTTTAGTTTAAAGTGAGGTAGAAACACGGACTAAAAAGTAAAGGTGGTTCTCCATCTAAAGCCAGCTCTCAGTAGTTGCTTGACGAAAGTTGCAGAAATAAATTGCAGTTGTGTAGAATAAACATTTATGAATAATGCAGATTCTTAACACACTGGTGTCATTTCTTATATTTTGTTAATTTTTTTGTTTGTTTGTTTGTTTGTTTGTTTGTTTGTTTGTTTGTTTTGTTTTTGGCAGTGAGGTCCATAATGTGAGCCAAATTTTCAAAGGAGAAAATGAACAAAAATGGTGAACAGAGTGGTAAGTTTTAATGCACGTATTCATTCATAATAATGTGATCAAACAGCAACATTTGCTCAGAGAATTAGGCCAACAACAGAGAGACTGAGGTCTTTCTGTTTCCTCATAAATACTGATCCAATGAGCCTTGTGTATGCAGATCAGCACAGGTCAGGTTCTGTCCACTTGTTCACTTTGTGGGTCATACAGAGGATATTAAACTTTACTTCATTTTATACCTCAAAACAACGACAATACAACGATTAGAGCCACCAACCAACACTCATTTAAATGAACAACCAACACTCATTTAAATGAGACTAAACGCAGAAGAACATCAACACTTATCTATCTATCTATCTATCTATATATATATATATATATATATATATATATATATATATATATACATACATACATACATACATACATACATACATACATACATATGTGTGTATATATACATATACACATATATATGTATATATACACATATATATGTATATGTATATATACACATATATATGTATATGTATATGCATGTACATATATACATACATATATACATATACACATATATATGTATATATATATATATATGTATGTATATATGTATATGCATATACATATATATGTATATGCATATACATATACATATATATGTGTATATATACATATATACATATATGCACATATATATATATGTATATATACGTATACATATTTATACATATATATGTTTATATACATATACATACATATATATTTACATATACATATTATACATATACATATATGTATATATCCATCCATCCATCCATCCATTTTCTTCCGCTTATCCGGGGTCGGGTCGCGGGGGTAGCAGCCTAAGTAGGGAGGCCCAGACTTCCCTCTCCCCAGCCACTTGGGCCAGCTCTTCCGGGGGAATCCCGAGGCGTTCCCAGGCCAGCCGAGAAACATAGTCCCTCCAGCGTGTCCTGGGTCTTCCTTTGGGCCTCCTTCCGGTGGGACGTGTCAGGAACACCTCACCAGGGAGGCGTCCAGAATGCATCCTAAACAGATGCCCAAGCCACCTCAACTGGCTCCTCTCGACATGGAGAAGCAGCGGCTCTACTCTGGGTCTCTCCCGGATGATCGAGCTTCTCATCCTATCTCTAAGGGAGAGCCCAGACATCCTGCGGAGAAAACTCATTTCGGCCGCTTGTATCCGAGATCTCATTATTTTGGTCACAACCCAAAGCTCGTGACCATAGATGAGGGTAGGAACGTAGATCGATCGGTAAATTGAGAGCTTCGCCTTTTGGCTCAGCTCTCTCTTCACCACGACAGACCTGTACAGCGCCTGCTTCACTGCTGACGCTGCACCTATCTGCCTATCGATCTCACGCTCCATTTTTCCCTCATTCGTGAACAAGACCCCAAGATACTTAAACTCCTCCACTTGGGGTAGGACCTCCTCCCTGACCCGGAGAGGGCACTCTACCCTTTTCCGGCTCAAGACCATGGCCTCGGATTTGGAGGAACTGATCGTCATCCCGACCGCGTCGCATTCGGCTGCGAACCGCTCCAGCGAATGCTGTAGATCATGATCTGATGAAGCCAATAAGACCATATCATCTGCAAAAAGCAGAGACGCAATCCTAAGGCCACCAAAACGGATCCCCTCAACACCTTGGCTGCACCTAGAAATTCTGTCCATAAAAATTATGAACAGAATCGGTGACAAAGGGCAACCTTGGCGGAGTCAACTCTCACCGGGACCAAGCCCAACTTACTGCCGGCGATGCGGACCAGGCTCTGACACCGGTCATACAGGGACCTAACAGCCCGTATCAAAGGGCCCGGTACCCCATACTCCCAGAGTACCCCCCACAGGGCTCCACGAGGGACGCGGTCGAACACCTTCTCCAAGTCCACAAAGCACCTGTAGACCGGTTGGGCAAACTCCCACGCACCCTCCAGGACCCTGCTGAGAGTGTAGAGCTGGTCCAGTGTTCCACGGCCAGGACGAAAACCACACTGCTCCTCCTGAATCCGAGGTTCGACTATCCGACGGACCCTCCTCTCCAGAACCCCCGAGTAGACCTTACCAGGGAGGCTAAAGAGCGTGATTCCCCTGTAGTTGGAACACACTCTACGGTCCCCCTTTTTGAATAGGGGGACCACCACCCCAGTCTGCCAATCCAGGGGAACTTCCCCCAATGTCCACGTAATATTGCAGAGTCGCGTAAGCCAACACAACCCTACAACATCCAGAGCCTTAAGGAACTCCGGGCGAATCTCATCCACCCCTGGGGCCCTGCCACCGAGGAGCTTTTTAACCACCTCGGTGACCTCAGCACCAGAGATTGGAGGGTCCGACCCAGAGTCCCCAGGCTCTGCTTCCTCAGTGGAAGACGTGCCGGTGGGATTGAGGAGGTCTTCAAAGTATTCCGCCCACCGACCCACAACATCCCGAGTTGAGGTCAGCAGCACACCACTCCCACTATAAACAGTGTTGGTGGCGTACTGCTTTCCCCCCTGAGACGCCGGATGGTGGACCAGAATTGCCTCGAAGCCGTGCGGAAGTCATTCTCCATGGCCTCTCCGAACTCCTCCCATGCCCGAGTTTTTGCCTCAGCGACCACCCAAGCCGCATGTCGCTTGGACTGCCGGTACCCATCAGCTGCTTCCGGGGTCCCACAGGCCGAAAAGGCCCGATAGGACTTCTTCTTCAGCCTGACAGCATCCCTCACCGACGGTGTCCACCATCGGGTTCGAGGGTTGCCGCCGCGACAGGCACCGACAACCTTGCGGCCGCAGCTCTGGTAAGCCGCCTCGACAATGGAGGCACAAAACATGGTCCACTCAGACTCAATGTCCCCCACCTCCCTCGGAACATGTTCGAAGTTCTCCCGGAGTTGGGAGTTAAAACTCCGTCTCACAGGAGACTCTGGCAGACGTTCCCAGCAAACACTCACAATACGTTTGGGTCTGCCAGGTCTGACCGGCATCCTCCCCCACCATCGGAGCCAACTCATCACCAGGTAGTGATCAGTGGACAGCTCCGCCCCTCTTTTCACCCGAGTGTCCAAGACATGCGGCCGCAGATCAGATGAGATGATGACAAAGTCGATCATCGAACTGCGGCCTAGGGTGTCCTGGTGCCAAGAGCACATATGGACACCCTTATGCTTGAACATGGTGTTTGTTATAGACAATCCATGATGAGCACAGAAGTCCAACAACAGAACACCACTCTGGTTCAGATCAGGGGGGCCGTTCCTCCCAACCACACCCCTCCAGGTCTCACTGTCATTGCCCACATGAGCATTGAAGTCCCCCAGCAGAACAAAGGAGTCCCCAGGAGGTGCACTTTCCAGTACCCCGTCCAAGGACTCCAGAAAGGGTGGATAATCTGAACTGCCGTTTGGTGCATAAGCACAAACGACAGTCAGAACCCGTCCCCCCCACGTAGGCGGAGAGAGGCCACCCTCTCATTTACTCGGGTATATATACATATACATATTTTTATACATTATGTATATACATATATATGTATATATACACATATATATATATATATATATATATATATATATATATATATGTATGTGTACATGTACATATATCTATATATATATGTATATAAATGTGTAGCATTGTCCTTTTGAAAGTTTCATTAAAATTTTTGCATCACAGGTTGATCAGTGTTTGTTTTTGTTTACTTCAGTATTTTTTGTGTTGAGGTTGCTCCTGTTTAGTTGGTTTCTTTTTAGAGTTTTGTCTTTGAGATTTAAGTTTCTCTGTGTTCCTGTTGCACCTGCCACAGCTGCAGCCACTCCTCCCATCAGACCAGGTCCATGAAATCCTTCTGTTTCACTTCACTCACCAGTCGAGCTCTTTCTTCCTGTGAGATCTTGAAATGCTCCTCAGCTGGATTTTGTCCCACGTTAACTGGACTGAGCCATGCAGGTTTGAAAAACAGCAAACTGCTGAATCAACGTCATAACCAGCATGTTAATGTTTATTTCTGGGGTTTTTTAGAAGTTGTTTGCTGATTTATGTAAAAACGTACAAGTAGCAAACCAAAGAAGCAGAACATTTCAGGTTTCAGCTGCATTGAATCTGCACATGTAGCTGAAGCTAAAGTTTTACCTCTCCACAATAAAGCCAAAGAGTTTTATTCACTCTCTGCACAATTAACCTGTTACACTTCTCACCCACGTGATAGATAACATTGAATCAATTTAGGACTTGCTGTATATTTAAGAATTAACCAATAAAACCAACCTGGAACGTCTTTGCTTCATGTTTTTATTCATGACCGTTTTAAGGGTTAATTTGATGACAAGTTTTTACTTTATTTTTCAGAGCATTATGTTGTGATTTATACTTTATACTGAGGATAATTTTACTGTACAACTAGACAAATATAAAATGGTAAAATCACTGTATGTGATTGTGAACCAGTTTGTGCACAAAGCAGGATAAATCTAGTTGTACTTTTGTTAGATCTACACAGTTTAAAGGTGCAGAAATGTATTTTGAATGTGTACATGTAACAAGATAATGCTATGATAGCACTGGCTTAAGATGAATTTACAAGCATTTAATGTACAAAATATGTTGATTTATTTTGAATAAAATTAAGCTCTAAAAGATAAATTTATTTACTTTTTATTATCTGAAGTAATCAGAGCAGCTGGTGCAGCATCTCTGTGTCACATTAGACCCTTGTGACATTTGTTCAGTCTGTGGGAGTGCTGTAAACACTGTGTAATCCCCTCATCAATACTTATGGGTTTGATTTCAGGATGGATTTAGTGGGATCTGATTTTATTTAACTCGTTAAAACACGATAAAGGTTTTGCTTTTACAGATTCAGGTTTATAGTATTTCTAAATTTTTAATAAAGTAGGGTCAACTTGTAATATTTCAGTTTAATAAGAGGTCATTACACTGTTTCATGGTTGCTTATGATTCATTTCACACTTATCTACACGCATTTATCAAAACAAGAACTTAGATTCGTACAACTATAAGCTCAATGATAGAGGTACACTTTTTGCAAAACACTTAACAAAAACACTTAAGTACAGAAATAGATAATAAATATATTGTAACGTCATGTGCCAGGTCAAAGCAGCTCATTTTTAAGCACCTTTAAACCACCTGGTTATCGACGTCCACAGGAGAAGTTCTGCGGGAATTCATTCAACCTTTATTTTTATAGGTTAGTCTCATTGAGTCACGAGGACTCATTTACAAGAGAGACCTGATTTAAACCTAAAAACCACAGGTGAGGTTCACACAACATTAAGCAGTCATAAAAAGTATATAAAATGAAATTAAAACAAACTACATTATCAAATTATGAAATACTGAAAACGGGAATATGTCTGAATTGATTTGGCTCAAGGAGGTTCTTCTCACAATGCCTTGCAAATAGGGTCAGATCCAATGAATTATAGACTAAAGATTTTATTTCAGTTTACATATCTAAATTTGTATTATTGTACTATTTTGTATATTAATTTTCTGCACAATTAATTGCTGATCTCTGAATAAATATTTTCATCAGTCTGCATCATTGGTCAGCAAACACAATGTAATGTTTGCTGATTAAAAAAAAAAGTTACTTATAAAAAAATTTAAAAAATGCTAAACGTTTTCCAAATGTTGCACTCCAGTGTGTGCATGATTAAATATATGGAAATAAAAAATGAGTTTACAATGTGTGTCAGTATTACAACAAAATACAGTTTTATAAGTTTTTCAACCCGTCCAGAGGACCAAACTTAACTTTTTTCTGAAAACTTCTGCTTCCCCTCAGGCAGAAGGTTGCAGAGCATCAAGTGTAGAACCACTAGAATGAGGAACGGCTCCTACCCTGAAGCCATGAATCTCTAACCAGGATAATGTAAAAAAAAAAAAGAAAGAAAAGAAAAACCACTGTAAAGCCAATTTAATTGGTGATATGTGACTTATCTGTGCTTTTGATTATCTATGCTGCTGATCTCATGCTGCTGATTATCTCATGCTGCTGTATTCATTCATGCCTATCTACTTACCATAGACTCATAGGCTGTTGTTATTACGTCATATTACTTTTACATTATAAGTGTTACTATTCTTTTTACACTTTATATTTTGTTATTTATTTCTGGGGCCCTGTGTACGTAATTTTGCTCCACCTCATGTACCATGTGTTGGAAACAACAATAAAGTTGACTTGAACTTGACTTGAAAACTCAGTGCTGACATGTTCCTGTTTTTCATTTTATTTATTTATTTTTTTCATTCAACCTTTATTTATATAGATTAGTCCCATTGAGCCTCGGGGACCATTACCTTGTATTATAACGTAGCTTGTTTTTTTTTTTTTGTTTGTTTGTTTTACATCTTTACTTTTATTTACTTTTCATTTTACATGTTTTTATGACTGTTTATTGTGTGTACCTCACCTTTGTTTTTAACTTTTAAACAGGTCTATCTTGAAAATGAGTCCTCGTGACTCAGTGATACTAACCTGAATAAAGGTTGAATGAATAAATGAATAAGTGTATTGTCTTAAAAAAGGTTTGATTTAGCAAATCATCTTGTTTTTTCTTTGCTAATTACGTGAAGTGCTTTGAAAAAAAATAGGATTTGCTTTCAAAAATAAACAAGTATTTAAAAACTAATTCGGCCTGTGCAAAAATACTTAAATGTGAAATAGTGACCTCTTGTGGTCACATGAGGCACTACAATAAAATACATGTTTGTGAATTAGCGACCCCCTGTGGTCAGACGTGGCACTGCATGCGTACGTCAGTTTTCATTCATTCAAACCTTTATTTATACAGGTTAGTCCCATTCAGGGACCGTTACCTTGTTTTACCTTCTACCTTGTTTTATAATGTAGCTTGTTTTTGTTTTGTTTTACATCACTACTTCTATTTACTTTTAACTTTCTATGCTTTTATGACTGTTTATTGTTGTGTGTACCTGACCTGTTTTTTTTGTTGTTGTTTAAAACAGGTCTATCTTGAAAATGAGTCCTCGTGACTCAGTGAGACTAACCTAGCTTGTTATGTTATTATGTGAGGTGCTTTGGAAAAATTGGGATTTGCTTTAAAAAAAAATGGGCAAAAATAAATACTTGTATGCAAATTAGTGACCTCTTGTGGCCAAATGCGACACTAAAATAAAATACATGTTTGTAAATTAGCGACCCCTTGTGGTCAGGCGTGGCACTGCATCAGCACGTCAGTTTGTATCTCATACAGTTTAAAATGTTCTTAGTAAACGTAAATCTACATGTACTGCAGTTCAACACGATCCAGAATCATATTATTTGTTGCCCAACTGCTGGAGCGTGTTTGACTCAGTGATGCGTTCAGGGGCGTGGCTACTTCAGACAGTGTTTGTGCTCGTGTGTTTGTGATGTTGTCTTTTGCCCTCCCCTATCTAGCGAGTCACATGGCCGCTGTCTGCTCTCTCGTGACTCCCTTTGAAGACGGAGGGGAACGAGGCGTGTCATGCTCAGTTGTTGTTAAAGAGTCGAACATCTTCTCCCAGCATCAATCTGTCCGGGCGGGGAGGGAGGGTAGCGCTCTAATTGACCGTCCGCCGGCCGGCCTGCCGCCGCTGTCACATCTGACTGAAACGGGGCGTCCTGTAACTTAAAACGAACACCCCCTCGTTAGCGGCGGAGCCCCTGAAAATCAGCAGGATCTGAAAACAGGAAGTGAGGGGAGAAGTTCAAAACAGAGGTAAGCTTTTCATGCTCCTGTGTGTGCGCGCGCGCGTGTTGTGCTTCAAGATGCTTAAATGTGCTTTCATTGCATCAACTAAGTTTTATTTCAGCCGGCAGGATGAGGAGTGAAGCAACTTCCTGTCCTTCACTTCTCCTGCGTAACAAAACACGCTGTTAGGTTTTTACACCAGGCCAAGCGGAAACTGTCAGTTTGATTTATTTACCGCCACCGAAAAGCCAAGGCGGGCGATAGTGTCTTTGCCCGTGTCTGCTTGTGTGCGCGCGCGCGTGTGTGTGTTAGCAAAATATCTGAAGTACCACTTGACAAAATTGAGTAAAACTCGCAGGAAGTCTTCATCAGATGCTCATCTACAAATGTTTAACTTTTGGAGTCGGACCGATTCAAGATGGCCGCCATAGCAACTGAATTTACAAACATAAAAATCGCAAGAACTCAGTTATTGTAGCGCACACTAGCCCAACATTAAGCATGGTAGTAGCAGAGAGTGATCCCCAACACATATTCTGATTGTGTAAAATCTTTGTTTTAAAATTTAACCATTAAATATTTAAAATCAACTCTTGTCTGTTGGCAAATTATCTCCTAAACCACTGGACGGGTTCTGATGAAACCTTCAGGATTCAATCACTGAATATACAAATGCAGAAGTTTAATTTTTGGAGCCAGTCAAGTTCAAGATGGCTGCCACAGCCCACTGAGCTTAGAAAACACATAAAGTGCTAACACGAAGTAAAATGTTCAGCTATTAAGCTAAAATGTGGTGTGGTTGTAGCTGAGAGTCGTTCCCAACACATACTCCAAGTGCTTCTTCTTGTGTGAGGTCTTTGCGCAAAATTTTAGCATTAGCCATTGGAGTCAGCCCTGGTATTTGTCAGTTAGCAAAATATCTCATGAACCACTGGACAGACTTTAATAAAACTCTCAAGAAGAAGTCATCGAATACACATCTACAACTGGTTACATTTTGGAGCCAGTCCAATTCAAGGTGGTCTCCACAGCTTTTCTATATTAGCTGTCACAAATCTGGCTATCTCTGTTATATTTACAACTATTGAGATGGTGTGGTAGTAGCTGAGAGTCCATACGAACACGTGCATACGCAGTGCGTGAACAAAAAGGCAATAACTTTGACGTTATTCAACAAAAGATGATCTTGGTCTGCAACTGTAGCGTGTATTTATCCAAGCTCTCCAGTTGTTTTCAGAAGATGTAAACGTTACAGGAACAACACTTTATTTTGGTCTATTTTTGGCACCGTAGCCCAGGGAGTGGAGGGAGGGGTGGCGATCGGAGGGCCCTGCTGCAGCAGCATCATGAATCCAGTGCGTCACCAACGTCCTCCAGCTGCACAGCGTGCAACTATTTACAGCATCAGCAGCGCAGGAAGTAACAGGATACAGATGTCCACCTGCACCCGGTTTACTGCAAGGCCCCTTTTTGTGCATCAGTGAATAAAGTCTGCAGAGAATCATCCAACACCTGCTACACATACACATTATTAACTAGAGAAATTGCATTTCCTGTGAAAATGCAGTGTGAATGCTTATTGAAGAACTTGCTGAAAAACAGCTGAAATTATCTAAAAAAAAAAAAACATGCTGAATTTTAGCTGAAAGGAAGAACAAGCCCAAATTAGCAGTAGAAAGCAGAACATATATTTACTGGATTAGGTTTAAATAAGCAGAACTTAGCATAAAATTATTAAATTAGCTTTCAAAAGGCTGAAATGAGCACCAAAAAAAATGTGTATATATAGCTGAAAAGTAGCCGAAAGGGCAGAAAGAAGCTTAAACTACCAGAATGAAGTGTAAAGAGCTGATATAAGCTTAAAAAAGTTTGAATTAGCTGAAAAAGCTAAAAATAAAAATAAACTAAATATCTAAATAGCTGAAATAACTGAAACTAGCAGAAAAAAAGCTGAAAGGAGCATAACAAGCTGACATCAGTAAAAATAAGTTAGGCTAAAAGTAGCCGGAATTACCACAAAAAACTTGACTTTTATCTGAAAACGGCTGAAATTAGCTAAAAAATGCTAAAAAGGTAGCTGAAAAGGTAGAATAAGCTTAAATTAGCAAAAGAAAGCAAACGGAACACAATTTTGCCCAATTAGGCTGAAAGAAGCAGAAGTGAACACTGAAAAAAATCTGAAATTAGCAACAACAACAAAAAAACAGCTGAATAGTAGCTAAAAAAGCAGAAAAGCTTAAATTACCAGAAGGAAGTGGAGGGAGCACATTTTTGCTGAATTAGGCTGAAAACAGTTGAAATTGTTTTTTTTGTTTTTTTTAAATGCTGAATTAGCTGAAAAGGCTAAAATTAGCATAAACTGCTAAATATTAGCTGAGATAGCAGGAAAAACTGTAACTTGCATAAATAAGCTGAAATTAGCAGAAAGAAGTTAGAAGTACAAAAATGTTGTAGATGGCAGAAATAATCTGAAAGGAGCACAAAACAGCTGAAGTTAGCTGAAGATGTATACATTTTCACAAGGAAGCTGAAAGAAGCTGAACCAGAACAAAATGTGAAAGGAGCAGTAAAAGGCTGTGAACAGATCTAAAGATTTGAAGGATGTAAAATGAGCTCGATTCATTTTCTATGAAGAAGAAAAAAAAAGTCGGAAAAGGCTAAATATTAAAAAAAGCTAAAGTTGCACCTATACCAAAAGTCATATCACCCTTCTCCTGAATGAGCTGGACGTTTTGATTTATGATTTGTTGAAATGGCACAACAATTGTGGAACAAGAACGATGCCGAAAACCGTACAGAAGAAGAAGAATGGACCTCAATAGTGTGAATGCTTTACGAACATTCACACTATTAAAATATGTTTAAAAGTCATATCTTGGGTAAATAAGACCCAGTCCTGGATTCGGGTGCGGCCTCCCTTATGTGCCCTAGCAGGTTTGTCCTACTTGGCGTTCCTGGTCATGTGATTTCTGCAGCTGAGCGCTTCACTTGCTCCAGTGATGAAAGAATGTCCTCTCTGAGACAGAGTCCAGAGGACAACCTGCTCGAAGAGGGGCTCAGCTGAGGTCGCCCCTCTGTGTTAAAACACACGAGCTGCTGCGAATCAGCTGACTGAAAATACCAAACCTCCTGCGTGAGCTGACTCACAAGCATGAGACACGAGGTTGACGCACAGGTCCTCTCGGGTCTGTACTCGCTCGCTGTCTTGAGCAATGATTTGCACGGGAGTTCAGAATATTGGAACGCGACTGAAAGGCGTCAGAGCGCAGTGAGATCTGAATTTATTGAGCCGTTTGGAGAAAGAGACAAAAGCTGATAACTTGACAGAACATTGCTTCAAAAAGGCTCAAACTATCCCTTCAAGTGTGATTTCTGTCAGAGCCAGGTAAACCTTCCACACCTTGCAACACAGTCTCCATTTTCTACAAACCTTACACTTCTTATACAGTTTATGCACCAAAATGTTGATTTTCACTGTGTCTCACTGCAACAGGACTGGTTGTCTCAAAAAATCCCCCACAGACTTCACACCTGAGCTCCCATTGACTTCCAGTATACATTGTTCAAGCTGACTTTATTTTAAACACTTTAAATTGATTTTTTATTTTTTTTTTACAACAGGGCTTAAAGTTTTTGTAAAGCAAGTATTGGGTTCAGACTTACTTTCTAGCCTGCATTCCTGTCTGTATGTACAGTCAGGGAGTGACAGACAAGAGTGTGTTGTTACCATGGTAATCAATGCATCTTCTCTTTACACTTCTTATATTGGGGAGTGGTGGTGCAGAGGATAGAGAGGGTGGGCCCGTGATAGGAGGGTCACCGGTCAACTCCCTTCACCAACAATATCAATATGTGGGTGGAAAAGGTGAAACACCCACACCTGCCACACCTGCCTCCGCCCTCATCAGCCCCACTCTGACCAAACATTTTTATTGGGACTGCAGACAGGCCTATGAGCAGAAACATCAGCCTCCAAACTAAATGTAGATTAGTCAACTCAATTGTGTTTCCAGTTGCGATGTATGGAAGCGAAACATGGACCACGAAGAAATCAGACTGGAGAAAAATCGATGTTTTTGAGCTGTGGTGTTGGAGGAGACTCCAACAAATTTCGTGGACCGCACACATCACCAATCTCGAAGTCTTGGAGCAAATCAAACCAAACCTCTCTTTAGAAGCCAGAATCACCAAACAGCGAGTAGCCTACTTCGGCCACGTGATGAGAAGCCGCTCCTTGGAAAAAGACTTCTTGCTCGGAATGGTGAGCGGACATAGAGGACGAGGACGACCAAGAACTCGCTGGCTTGACACCATTAAACGGGATACAAACCTGACACTTGCTGAAATAAAAGAAGCTGTATGTGATCGTCAAAGTTGGAGAACGTCGATCCAACGAGTGACCGAGAATCGACCACGATTGAACGGAACGGCAGACAGGCCATTTAAATGGTAAATGACTGTACGTATATAGCGTCTTTCTATCTTATCGAGACACTCAAAGCTCTTTACAATCTGTGTCCTCATTTACCCATTCATACAGCACTCTATAGATCTATACAAAGAAGAATCAGAGCTTGATCACATTCATACACTGATGGGACACACATTGGAGGCAGTGAGGGGTTCAGTGTCTTGCCCAGGGACACTTCAACATGTGACTGCTGGTGGAGTCTAACCTCCAACTCTGCCATTGGAGGACGACCGCTCTAACCACTCAGCCACAGCCGCCCCATTTTAGTGTTGCAGCCCCGTATCTCTTTAGCTCGAAAGAGGTAATGTCCAAATAAATGTTCAGGTTTTAATCCGTCTGAATGTACAAGTGTCTTCTGTTTCGTCTTAAAAGATCCGCGGCTCATAAAACACAATGCGTTTCTCTCTCTTGTTCCTGTTTTTATTTTCACGATAAAGCTCAAACTTATTTTAAGGATGCAACAAGCTGCGTTTAGCGACTCCATGCAGAGATTTCCAGCACCGAATCACATCTGTCTTCAGTGCTGCTCTGCCTCGGGGCTCACAGATCACAACCGCTCCGTTCAGTTTCCAACCCCCTGACCTGCCTGCAGATCCGACACGCTGAACCGAGTAACTCCTGAGGTTTCATGGGGAAAAATCTGCCGCACATTTAATTTGGTCTTTGTTGTTATATATATATTTAGTAAATAAGTACAAGTTTATTTGACAAAGCCTAAAATCCTTCTTTTTTGTCAGAATTGTTTTATCTTATAATATAGTAATATTACCGCCCTCTACTGTTCCTTAAGGGGAAAGTTAACCACAGGGAAATCCCATTATAAATGCACTTTCTGACATGGACTTCAACTTAAACCGGAAGATGTACGTGTGTCCCAGCTGGACATTGCTGTTGTGTTGCTTCTCTTGTCTCGTCCTACAAAACTGTTTTAGTTTGGATGTAAAGAGGAAAAACACATTTGTGTTTAGTACAAAAAAGTGGTTCACTTGCTCAGAACGTCGGACTCCCGTTGACTGAAATCAAGTCGACAATAGCAGATGCACTGTGCTGCAGCAGTTCAGTATATCTGGTTCAGTAAAAGCAACAACAACAACAAAAAAAAAACTGAAATGGCAACTGGCAAAAAAAAAAAAAAATAATAATAATTGTTTTATTTTTAAAAATTGATGTTGAACCACTGAGCCTTGCTTGTAAGTTTCACCAAAAACAAGGCATAATTTTCTGCTACTAGATCTAAAAGGTCTGATGAGCTGGAGGGTCTTACAAAACTGGACTAGAATGGTTTTGAAATGATCAAAAAATTCTTTATGGTGTGCTAACAGAGGAAAGATTACTTCTTTTTTTTTTTTTCAAAATGTGCCATAAAATAAATATTTTGTCTATTAAAAAAATAATAGTAATCAAACTAAAGGGCTTGAAACAGTTAAAAATTTTAAAAAGTCCTTTAAATTTAACATTTTATTTCACGTTGAGATGGCTTTTAAAAACTAAGTAGTTTATTGTGGGATAAAATAAAAATAAAAATAGTATTTTCAAGCCGTTAAGTAAGGTGGTCAATTTCTCCTGAAGGAACGCTGTTATTAAATGAAAGGACCTTCATGGGCTTGTTGAGTTAACATACTGTAGTATTTGTACAGAATCCCTTTAAAAACCTCTTAACATAGAGATGTTGCTCCTGAACGTCTGTACGACATTCATCAGTAGTTTTTTTTCTTCCTGTTGCTCTGTCTCAATGTGTTGGCAAAATATCTTCTAAACCACAGGACCGATTTTCTTGAAACTCAAAGTAATCGTTGGGTGTGCGTCCACAGCTGGTTAACGTACCCCGTCCCGAAGCGAGCACCGAAGCTCCCCCTCCCTTCAGCCATGCCGACCGAACGCACCCCTCTGATCACCTCAGGTGTGTGTGGTCTGACATTGACCACATGCAGCGCCACGCCAGACTCCACCCAGGACCACAGCCCCGGAGAGCCGACCCAGAGCCCCCGAAGACTGAACACGTTCTTCGGGGTGATGGTGCCGACCGTCCTCTCCATGTTCAGCATCGTGTTGTTTCTGAGAACAGGTGTGTGAAGCTTGTTTGAAGACTTCAGGTGCAGAGAAGTTGCTCACGGCTGAAGTGTTGTTTCTCTCCAGGGTTCGTGGTCGGTCACGCAGGACTGCTGCAGGGTCTCCTAATGATTTTTGTAGCTTACACCATCATATCACTCACGATACTGTCCATCTGTGCCATCTCCACCAACGGTGCCATACAGGGTGGAGGAGCCTACTGTATCCTTATCAAGTGAACACATCTTTCTGGATTTAATCTGGATTTTGTCCACAGTTTGGTGATGGCAGCTGGTTAATCTGCCCTAACAGCATGAATCCAGATATGATAAGTCGATCCTTAGGGCCCGAGTTCGGAGGAAGCATTGGTTTGATGTTCTTCATGGCCAAAGTGTTTGCGTGTGGAGAGTATGTTCTGGGTCTTGTGGAGGCCATATTGAATGTATTTGGTGCAGATGCTGGTAAGTTCTGTTTATGTTGATTTATTTAAATGTTTTGATTTACACTTGTTCTGTTTTTTTTACTTTTCTATGTTTGAGAAATCTGACTTCTGTACACGTTCTGCTTTTTTAGCTGTTCGTTAACCGTATCAAAACGTTCTGCTCATTCAGGAGATGGGTGCTCCGATGTTTTGTTTTTGTTACTTTTATAAGGGGTAAAATGGATAAGCTGGGTATAATACTTGTAAATAAAGTTAAATATTTACAAAAGTTTTCAAAATTTTTTAATTTATTTGCAAATATGTTGCCCACAGAAATACACTGACAATAATTCAGGTCCTCAAAAATGATCATTTTTACTGTTCTTTTTATGCTAATTTTAGTTTATAGTTATAGTATTTTTCCAAATTTTAGATTTTAGCTAATGTTGTGCTAATGTTATCTTGTAGCTAGACTTTTGGTTTTCTTACTATCTTTTTTCTCTTTTAGCCAGCCGTTTGTTATTTTTAGCTTCTGACTGGCATTTTGCCACTTTTAGAAGGCATTTTGCTTCTTTGGCTGAAGTTTTACTACTTTTAGCTTTTAATTAGACTTTTGCAACTTTTAGTAAGCTTTTAGTGTCTAGCTAGTGTTTGCTACTTAAGGCATTTAGGGATCCTTTTGCAATTATTAGCTTCTAGTTAGCCTTTTGCTACTTTTAGCCAGTGTTTTGCTATTTTTACCATCTAGCTAGTTTTTTTTTCCTTCTTTTAGCTTTCAACCAGGCTTTTTCTACTTGTTTTCTTAACTCTTTGCTACTTTTAGTTTCTAGTTATATTTAGCTACTTTAAGCTTTTATGTAACCTTTTGCTACTTTTTGTTTCTAAACAGCCTTTTGCTAATTTTAGAATCTGCTTGTTTTAGTTGTTAACTACTGTTCTGTTTAGTTGCTTTAGCTTTACCACCTTCATTTAACTTCTTCAGCCTGTCTGAGCGGTCGCTCAGCACAAAAGCTGAACTCTCCTGTTCGTTTCAGAGTCCTTGGTGTCTGGCGGGGCGCGGGTGCTTCCTCAGGGTTACTGGTATACGGTGCTGTACTCCACGGTGATCCTCCTGCTGTGCCTCATCGTGTGTCTGGTGGGCGCCCACATTTACTCCCGTACCGCCTTTGCCATCCTGCTGGTGGTCACCGTGTCGTTGCTGTCCATCTTCATCAGTTCTGTGGCAGTCAAACCTCAGGTGTTTGTCATCGTTCACCAGGGACCCGGCAACCAAACCCTCCGCTACAACGCCAGCTACACGGGCTTCAGCGCCACCACGCTGAAGAACAACCTGGGCTGTGAGTTATGACTGGATATGAGAAGATTGCTTACTGTTCTAATACTCAAGCTCAAGTAGGTTTTATTGTCATTCACATCACATGTGGTACGTGAGGTGGAACGAAATTGTGTACATAGGGTCCCAGTTACATCAATTCTGTTGGGTTCAATTCAAAAATACTTTATTAATCCCAGAGGGAAATCAAATAACCATCCAACAATAGCAAAAATATAAAGTGTAAAAATAAACAGTAAATAAGGATCTGAGATCTAAACTAAGAAATACACTAAACACTAATAATGCAAAACAATACACCAAACAAGAGCAGCACAAATAAGATTGTGTGAGTAGATGAGTACAAATGAATATAGCAGCATGAAATAATCAGCAGCATGAGATCAGCAGCATGGATAATCAGCAGCACATATCACCAATCAAAGTGGCATTACAGTGATTTTTTCTTTCTTTCTTTTCACAGTGATAATCCTGGTTAGGGATTTATGACTACAGTAGTCTCTTGTTTATCGCAGGAGATCTGTACCCTGAAGCCCCATGATAAGTGACAAACGGCTACGTAGGGATACAGTAATTCACGTTCCAAGTACAGTAAACTTTTTATATTAAGGCTTTAGAAACCCTTCCCACACTCTTGGAATATTCTAAACTCTTAAACCTACGTTATTTTAACAACATAGTATGTTATTAAATTTTACTTACTAGCTCTGCAGAACAGCAACAGCTCTGGTTCCGGCCCAACTCTGTTTTATTACCATTCGTTTTGTTTCTGCAGACCTATCCTGCAGCGATGAAGCACACTAATCAGTCCTCTAAACTCTTAAACCTACCAGTTTTAACAACATACAATACTTATATGTACAGGAGCTACAAAATGTTACTTACCAGGCTCTGCAGTACAGGAGCAGCTCGGGTCCAGTCCGACCCGATAGATGAAAAAAAAATCTCTGACTTTGCTGCAAAACTTTCCCTCCATTTACTGCAAGCAGCAGTTGAAAGAGCAGTGTTGACTTCTGGGAAGTGAACTGATGGCTTCTGGTTAATCTAGTTCTTTAGACTGTCAAAACAGTGAAGGCTTAATGAAAGAAAACTACAAAATGGCAGCGCTTAAAAAAAAAAAAATAAATTATGTACATGTACAGTAAATACTTAAATAAACCGCAATAGAGCGAGCCCACGAAAAACGAACTGTGAAGTAGCGAGGGTCTACTGTACTATATACTTACTTTATGTACAACAAAACTGACGGACACATTCAGCAGCTTTTATAAAAACTTTTGATATATACCATTTTTGTTTTCCAGCTGGGTATTCTCTGGACTACAGCACCAACTCTGTCATGTCTTTTGCCAGCGTGTTTGCTGTCATGTTCACCAGCTGCACAGGCATCATGGCCGGAGCCAACATGTCAGGTGACACCTCGTCATAATTTTACACAGCTAATCGCATTAACACAATGTGTCTTTATCTCATGAGATTATTTACTGTGATTTATTTTTATTAGTAACATTTTAAAGGGAAATACTCTGCTTCTTAGTTTCTCTACAACTATCTGACAGATTTACTCACCTGTTGTTGGTGGATTAAACGGATTTAGCAGGTGGAGTTTAGAAGTTGAGACATGCTCTCGCAGTTCTACTCCATTTAGACTCACTCCACCCCTGTTCCACCTGACACGGTTCTGCACTATCTAATTTTCCATATCTGAGTGCCACATTGGTGTGAGTGGGTCATCATTGCTCAGTCGGCCAAACTTTACTGCTAAATGGTAAATAAGTTTTTAAAAAACATTCACCATTTTCTTCCATAGTTTCCAAAACTGCTGTGGCCGAGTTGAGGCCATCTTCCCTCCACCGGTCTGAGCCTATAAATTGAGTCCATTTCTCTGTTGTTTTTTTGTTTGTTTTGTTTTTTTTGTTTAGTTCCATCTAAATTCTGAAGAACAGAAACATTGGCTCGTCTTTATAGTACCATGGTGTTTGTTTACGTGTTGCCATTTTAATGGATATTTAGATTTTTTTAATGCAAATAAGAAGAACGAATGCTGCTGTTGTGAGATTTTAAAAATGATTGGTTTGATTCTTGTGAAGGAGACGCTCATGAGCGCCGTTGCTCTCTGGTCAGTTGATGGCCTGCAGTCTGCTGACGTCAAATCTTCTTCTTGACTCGGCTCGTTTGGAACCTCAGCTGAGTAGGTTCTAAGAACAGTCCTGAAAGTGTGTGGGATCACCCACTGGAAAGACTCCGGGTCAACCTTAGAGGGACCGAGTCGAGACCATGGAAAAGGGTAAACGTGCTCACTCGTGTTTTCTCCTGTTTCACACATCTGAAGGGGAGCTGAAGACTCCGAGTGTTTCCATCCCTAGAGGCACCATCATCGCTGTCTTTTACACCTTTGTGGTCTATGTACTCCTCTTCATCCTGGCCAGCGCTACGTGTGACAGGTCTGATATCACTTGTACCTACTATGCCTTCAGAAAAGCAGCTTTGGTTCTGACCAATCCTGTATTTTTTTTTTTTTTTAGGACATTGTTGATTCAAGACTATGGATTTTTTCAGCGAATCAGCCTCTGGCCACCATTGGTCACCGTAGGAATATACTGCGCATCCTTGTCCGCTGCAATGTGCGCCATGATCGGAGCTTCCCGCATACTCCATGCGCTTGCCGTGGATCATCTTTTTGGCAAGACATCATATTTTATGCCATTTCTTTTTTGTACATAGAGTTATTTTTTCTTTTTGAACTGGTGTTTTCTCCACAGGTTGGCCCTTGGCTCCAGCTGCCATCACTTCAAACTCTGGGAACCCGTGGGTGGCAGTGCTGTACACCTGGGGCCTGGCACAGGTCCGTTTCTGCACCACAAACGTCTTTAACTTTCCGAACTGAGCTTATGTTCCGACGGTGTGTTTGTGTGTCAGTGTGTGGTGTTTGCAGGGCAGCTCAACGCTGTGGCTGGTCTGGTGACTGTTTTCTACCTGCTTGCCTACGCTGCCGTTGATCTGGCCTGTTTGGCTTTGGAGTGGGCATCCGCACCAAATTTCAGGTAAAAAGATGGATTGTTTGCGTTTAACTTTCGGAAAATCCTGTTCAAACATTGACGTAAATCAAGCACAATAGTGTACATGTATATTGTAAACTTTAATATACTGTATCTAAGACCTGACTGACATGCTTGTTTGTTGTGTTGACCAGACCAACCTTCCAGCTCTTCTCCTGGCACACCTGCCTGCTGGGGATTCTCAGCTGTCTGGTCATGATGTTCGTCATTAACCCCGTGTATTCATCAGGCAGCATCGTCCTGCTGTTGCTGCTGCTGCTTTTCCTCCACTACAGATCACCCACAAGCAGCTGGGGCTACATCAGCCAGGCTCTCATTTTCCACCAGGTATCCGACGCTCGTGACTGAATGCTAATTCAGTGCTCGCATGATTGTGATTGAACATTTTGCTTGATTTGAGAATACCGTGTAAAGGTTTTTAGTGTTTGTAATTTCTGTACTTTTTGAATTACAGAACTTTATTTACAAAAACTTTTCCCCATGAAAACACACTGAGGTCTCTTCACTTCCTTTGAAAACGTAGTAGTTGTTTGAAATCAACTTCAACTGACCTTTTGTTTTTGCTAATTTTAAGGTTTAACTGCTGACTAGCCAATATTGGCTTATATTAGCTACTGTTTTGCTTATAGTTTTAAGCTGCAGTTTAGCTATTGTCAGCGTTTAATTAAATGTTTGCTAATTTTATCAGTTAGCTGCTGTTTTGCTAATTTTATCATTTTTATAGTGTTTTACTAATTTAGTTTTTAGAATTTTGCTGATTTTAGCTTTTAGCCCCTGTTTAAATTAGACAAATTTTAGCTTTTAGCTATAGCTTTAAGGTACATTTTACAAATTTGAGATTTTTACTAAGGTCTTGCTATTTTGCTAATACTTTTTTTTGTTGCTAGTTTTAGCTTTTAGTTGCAGTTTTGCTGATTTGTGATTTTTCTGCTGTTTTGTTAATTTTAGCTTTTAGCTATTGTCTTTCTAGTATTTTCTTTTAGATACCGTTTTGCTTATAATTTTAAGTTGCAGTTTAGCTAATATTATGATTTGACAAAAATTTTACTTATTTTAACATGTAGCTACTGTTTTGCTAATTTTATCTTTTAGCTGCTGACTTGCCATAATTAGCTTTTAGCAACAGTTTAGCTACTTTTACCTTTTTTTGCTAGTGATTTGCTAATTAGACTTTACTCGGTTTAGCTCATTTTAGCCATTAGCTTCTATTTAAAATTTTAATTTAATTTTAGATTTAGCTATTGTTTTACTATAGGTTTTAGGTAAATTTTAGTAATGTTTTAGACTTGTTTTGCAGCCAGCACGGTGGCGAAACTGTTAGAGCTGCTGCCTCTCAGCAAGCAGGTCCTTGGTTCAAACCCCGGTCCAGGGGCCTTTCTGGGTGGAGTTTGCATGTTCTCTCTGTGCATGCGTGGGGTTTCTCCGGGTGCTCCGATTTCCTCCCACAGACCAAAAACATGCATATTAGGTTGATTGGTAACTCTAAATTGTCCCTAGGTGTGAATGAGAGAGTGAATGGTTGTTTGTCTCTGTGTCCCTGTGATGGACTTGCGACCCATCCAGAGTGTCCCCCACCTCTCGCACAGTGATTGCTGGACATGGGCACGGGCGACCCACGTGACCCAAAATGAAAAAAGTGGGTAAAAGATAATGGATGGATGGATGGATGGATGGATGGATGGATGGATGGATGGGTAAAAGATAATGGATGGATGGGTAAAAGATAATGGATGGATGGACTTGTTTTGCTGCCGTTTTGCTAACTGCAACATTCAACAATTAATTTTTTTCACATTTTTTGCTACTGCTTTGCCTCTTATGCTTTGTGCCAAGTTTAGCCATTGCTCCAGTTTTACTAAAATTATCTTTTTGTTACCGTTTTCATCCATCCATCCATTATCTTTTACCCGCTTCTTCCTTTTTGGGTCATGGGGGTCACTGATGTCCATGTCCAGCAGTCACTGTGCGAGAGGCAACACCCTGGACAGGTCTCCAGTCCATCACAGGGACACATGGAGACAAACAAGACAAACAACCATTCACTCTCTCACACGTATTGACAATTTAGAGTTACCAATCAGACTAACATGCATGTTTTTGGTCTGTGGGAGGAAACTAGAGTACCCAGAGAAAACCCACACATGCACGGAGAGAGCATGCAAACTCCACCCAGAAAGGTCCCGGGCCGGGATTTGAACCGGCAACCTTCTCGCTGAGAGGCAACAGCTGTACCAACTTTACTACTGTGTCACCCCTTTTGTTTTCATCTATTGTTAATTTGAAAGCTTATCTACAATTTTGTACTTTTTAGCTTTCAGCTCTGTTTTTGCCTATTTTAGCCTTACGCAATAGCTTAGCTATTTTGCTTGTTTTAATCTAAACAATAATTTTTTTAACACATTTCAGCCACGCAGCATTTATCAGTTTCCCCACTTGTTTTGCCCTTTGCTCTCTTTGGTTTAGGTGCGGAAGTATCTGCTAATGTTGGACGTGAGGAAAGACCACGTGAAGTTCTGGAGGCCTCAGGTGTTGCTGATGGTGGCCAACCCGCGCTCCTCCTGTCAGCTCATCCTGTTCGTGAACCAGCTGAAGAAGGGGGGGCTGTATGTGTTGGGTCACGTTCAGCTGGGAGATCTGGGTAATGCTCAGCAGTTAATCTGTGTTCTTCTGGCAGTTTTACCAAAAACAGAATAAATGTTGTTTCCTTTTTAAATTAATCTAAACTTTAAAAGTGTTAGTCCTTAACTGTGTACTTCCTGTATAATGTACTTCCCGTATAATGTACTTCCTGTATAATGTAGACATCCAGGTGGAACATACCTGTGGTACCACTGTTGTTAGGGGTCCTGTCATGGGTTTTGACTGTCCTTCTTATTTCCCATCAAAAACCATTTTCTTTGCGGTGTTAAAAACTTTTGTCACATGATTCCCGAGTCATGTTTAACTACACCCAAACCTCCACCTGCAATCAATTCTCCAAACTGCAGGTAAATGAGTTAAGTGTTTTAGGTCCGACACATCGTAAGATTCACGCACACAGACTGCAGGTGAGAATCAACCCAATCAGCTCTCAGTTTGTACTCTCGCCGCTTTAAAATCAAATGTTTGCTTGAAAGAGATTTTCTAAAATTAGTAAGAGGTGATTCACAGGTTTCAACATTTCCACAAATGTACAAAACTTGTGCTTTTTGGAGACTCCCCTCCAAAAACTTGCAGATAAATGAATTCCACGATGCCTACATGTTACAGGAAGATGAGACATTAAAACCCATGTGAGTTGCTACAATATCCATGTAAGCACAAGTGTTAGCAGCTTACCCACAACAGAGGTGCTCTCGTGTGACGTCACCCTTTATTATTGGTACACCCTTTTGCACTCCAACAGGAAGTGCTTTCCCCCTTATACATATCAGGAACAACCTCTGACTCATGGAGTCGGTTTACAGCCAATAACAGAGACTAACATAAATGCCAAACCAAACATGAGCAGGACATTAATAAGAACAACCCATTTACGCACTCAGAAACAGTCAAAAACATTGCACACATAATTTCCACGAGGCTACCCAGCATGCTTTGTTTCTCACACAGTCTTTATAGGATGCTACAATATTGTACTAAGGTAAAATTATAGTCATTGCACATTCGTACGTCTCAAAACTGCTTAAAACGTACAGAGACAGATATTTATGATAAACCAGAAACATCTGGAACTGACTCTCTCACAGAGAGAAGTTTGGGAGTCCGGGAGAAAATAAAATTAAGTTTAACTGAGACACACATCTTTGCTTTAATCTGTCAGCTACAAATATCCGTCATTTGGTGTTAATGTTCAAATAAAGAAACAAAAGCAGCAGAAACACGAGTCTCACCGAGACACTCGCCAAGTATTTGACCACACGTGCAAGTTGGACATGGCTGTAGCAGTGCGCAATACAGACATGCTAACTAAGATGCTACAGACGTAGCGCTCCACGTCTGTCACACATCCTAACCCTTTAATTAAGAAATAGAAGGGTGCACTCCCTGTTGCAGCTGTAGCGATAAACCCAGGGCCATGACTGAGCACCGGCCCCTGCGGCCCATATGCCAGACTGGCTCACCGGTAAATGTCCCGGTCTTCTCGATCAACTAATCCAGGCCTGCATGTCTGTACGATGATGATGATGACGATGATGCTTTGAATGCATTCACATTAAATACAGTTAGATTTTAAATAGAAAAGTCCGGGGAGGTCTGGGAGCAGTGCAGGAGGTTCGTCAGTGACAGCGGGATTAGTGGTGGCTGTGCAGATGCGTGGTTTGTTTTCAGTGTGTCTGAGTTCAGAGGGGGGCTCTGCTCTGATGGGGCTGAGATGGAGTAGAGGTACGGCAGCTGACTTGGGATCAGAAAGTTGCAGTTTGACTCCCAGCCATTCCCACGTCGTGATGTCTGTGCAAGACACCTAATCCCAATTGCTCCCCGGGTGCTTGCATAGCTGCCCACTGCTCCACCTGGGTGTATTTCAGGTGTGATGGGTTAAATGCAGAGAACTAATTTCACCATTGAATGGGAATATACAATGATGACTATCAGACTGTTTTCCCCTTCCCTTTAAAAACAGAGGGGCAGCACTGGTCATCTTTTTTTTTTTTAAGTGTACACTAGTCCTTGAATCCCTCCCCCAGCATATGGTTTGTATGCTTGTGAAAATGATGGAAACTGTGAATCGCCCCAAAGTTAATTCTTCCTGTCCTGTGTTCCAGACTCTCTGCCGTCAGACCCGGTCCAGACCAAGTACAACTTCTGGCTGAGCCTGGTTGATAAACTTGGTGTGAAGGCCTTCGTAGACCTGACGCTCTCTCCTTCGGTCAGACAAGGAACTCAGCATCTGCTGCGCATCACAGGACTTGGTAAGTGTTTTTTCCCCTCCATATTTTTCTTCATGTGGTCTTTTCTCATCACTCTGATTTTGTTTATCTTCATCAAAGGTGGCATGAAACCCAACATGTTGATTTTGGGTTTCTATGACAACTGCGTTCCTGATGACTTCTTCCTGCAAGACTCTGCCTTCTGTCAGTCTTCGGTCAAACAGGGCGGTGAGGATGAGTATAATTTTGGGGTTGACCTGCCTTCGCTGCAAGCGTATTTCCCCCCTGTCCGACACGTTGAAAGCCCGCGGTGGTTACAGCCCGAGGAGTACGTCGGCATCATTTCTGACGCCCTGAAGATGAATAAAAACGTCTGCCTCGGCCGATACTTCTTCCAGCTGCAGGGGGAAAATAAAGACAGCAAAACCGACGGGTCGGAGCGGATTATAGACGTCTGGCCTCTCAACCTGCTGCAGCCGGGCAGCTGCGACTATCAGGACGTGTGCAGCCTCTTCCTGCTGCAGATGGCCTGCGTGCTCAACATGTCCAGCAAGTGGCGCCATGCCAGAATGAGGATCTTCCTGAACGTGGAGACGGGCTCCGGCGATCAGGGCTGGTTGGTCAACGAAGAGGCGTTCCGTGAACTGCTGAAGAAACTGAGGATCAGGGCGTCCATAAAAATCGTGCCATGGGACTCCACGGTGCAATACTACACTGTGCCGGAGGGGGAGCGCTCTGCGGAGCCGGCGCCGCCTCTCTCCGAGGACTATTTGTCAGCGGTGAACTCCATGTTGATGGAGCGCAGCTTTCAGGCTGCCGTTCGCTTCCTGTATTTACCTCGGCCCCCTGCTGCCCGCAGTCAGTCGCAGCAGTACTTGTCTCAGCTGGAAGCGGTGACCAACGGTTTGGGGCCAACGCTGCTGATTCATGGGGTCACACCGGTCACTTACACAGATCTCTGAGTTTGGTCATACACATGAAGCTAAAGCTTAGTTGTTTACTTCAAAGTAAGTGGTATCAAATTAACTTTTTTCCATCCATCCATCATCTTTACCCGCTTCTTCCTTTTCGGATCACGGGGATCCAATGATCCCATGTCCTGCAGTCACTGTGCAAGAGGCGGGGGACACCCTGGACAGGTCTCCAGTCCATCACAGGGACACGACTCGGTTAACTCGATTTTATATTTAAAAATGCTCTTGTGAGGTCTTTAATAATTTTTATTTGGCACCTTTTAAAAACAAATGTTAACCCTTGTATTGTCTTTTAGGGAAAAATCAAGCCACATATTTATTTTTGTCTGTTTTTATTTGTTAATTTATTTTGGTGCTGTTGTTAAGATATTTTCAATCTAGACTGGTTTTATGAGTTTGATCTGCTCAGAGACAGGATTATAATGAAATTGTGACCCGGTTCTGACTGGGTTAAACTGGGCCAGCAAACTCTTAAGAGTGTCTTCCTGATAATTCAGTATCTGTCAAGAAATAGTTTAATCAGCTTGCCACTTCACATAGGAAAGGCTTTAAAGCACCGTCTCATGTTTTTCCTTACACGTCAGTACACATAAGACCACACTAATATGCCCCTTTTCCATTGGTACTGGTAATATTCCTGAGATCCAATAGTTTTGTGTCTTTTTATGATTTTCAGCTGAGTTAACAGTCATTAAAGTGAAAACAGGATTTCATGATGAAGCTGGCACCGTTTATTTTATTTTTAATCTTCAACGCTCTGCTGGTCTCGCACGACACTGTCCGCAGTCACACGATCCTCTCCTCCGGAGAAGAGGAGGCTGGGAGACTCATCCTCCCAGCTTCGAGCTCTGCTGGTGACTCCAGAGGCTGTTCCAAGACTCCAGCCGCGCGTAATCATGAAGGTCGGACCCGCGCAGACAGGCGGGCAGAGACGGGTCTGCGACCAATGGTGGAAGCGATTTTAAAAAACATTTTACGTGTAAAAAAATAATAATTTTTAAATCGCTTCAGCATTTTTTTAAAACATTTTTTGTATAAAAACAAAATATTTTATTTAAAAATCGCTTCCAGCGTCCGTCCCAGACTGTCCAGTCCGCCTGACTGCCGGGTGGGATCGGGATTCAGCCTTCATGATTACGCGCGGCCGGGGTCTCACAACGGCCATCTGTGAGTCCCCATCTCCAGATTCGCAGTGACCTGCGGAGCTCTGAGCGCACAAGGCTGGTATCTGGAACCCGAGCCTCCGAGTCGGCACATCTAAGGATCTTCCGCGGTGACCAGCTGAACTTGGAGCCGGGGAGATGACGCCCTGCCCGGCCTGGCGCTCCGAGGCTCCGGAGGGAGGATCGGGGTACACCAGCAGAGCTCCATCCAGCTTGCTCTAAATTATGTTGTCGGCCACCAAGCACAAAAAATGCCAGCACATCAACATTAGACCAAGATGTTGTCAGTATTGTTTTTAAAATCTTTAAAATAAGTCCAGGCTGCTCCAGTCCGAGAAATTGCAAATGGCGGATTATTATTTTGAAACGTTTCTGAAGGATCCAGTGACTCCGCCCCCGACCAATCAGTGACCGACAGTGTACTGACGTCACGTTTTTGTACCTCTTCGTACCGGTTAGAACCACAGAGCCAAGGGTACTGAAAATAGTAACAGGTGCTAAGTACCGGTACTAATGGAAAAGCCTCAGAACCGGGCCAAGTAGGGTCGAGTCGGCCCGTACCGGTACTAATGGAAAAGGGGCATTAGTCCCGCCCCCTCATACACTGACAGGTTGAGCTCCCCCTTCTCAGCAGCAACATTCTAAATCTCTCTGCAACCTGCTGCTCTCTGCCAGCGCTCTCGGCCACGCCCACTTCACCACTGCAGAGCGGAGATTGACACGCTGCAGGAGGGAGCTTCTCCCTGCTGCACTGCAGCACCTGTTGCACCTGTGGGCTACACACAGGTGCAACAGGTGCTAAATAATTTTAAATAATTTATTTTAAATAAAAATTCCATGCCAGTCGTGTGGCTCATCCATCAGTCAGCCAATTGTGTGTCATGTCCAATCTTATTTTGAAAAATCGCGATAGAGCAAGTCTGTGAAAGTCGAACCGCAAAGTAGCGAGGGACTACTGTACACTAAAAACACATTTTAATCCTATATTTATCATATAAAGTAATGCTTTCCTCTCAGTATGGTTTTTCTTTTCACCTTTGTTACTATGTTTTCAGTTTTTATATTGGCTCAATAGATGGTGCTCTACTTTTATATTTGAGAGCCTCTGTAAAAATCTCCTGGGATCCAGTCCACCTTACCCCAGCAGAGGGACATCTTCCCCGTCCAGAGCCGCTGGTGAGTCCCACCTCTCATCTTATAAAATCGTTTTTGTTTGGATGTATAGAGCAAAACCTCACTTGTAATGTTCACAAGTAAGCGTTTAGTACTAAAAAGCTGTTTCGCATGCATGCAGGCTGCAGAATAAGATGCTGCACAGCTGACACCTGGTTTATGTGAAGGCAGGAAGTCATTAGTGGCTGTATCATGCACCTGCAGCTCGCTTGTATATCCAGGTCAGTTCAAGCATAGTAAATATTTAGAAAGTAGCAAATCTTCAACGGGTGTTTTTAATAATATTTTCAAAAATAAAAAATGAATCAGAAAAAAAACTCCATGTGCGAAGACGAGAATATAAACAAAACCTCATTTTCAGCTATCGGTTCTGAAGCGTCCGGTTGGATGGAGGGTTGTCACAAAATTCTGAACTGGAATAAATACTCCAAAAATAATTTTGGGCATACTAACACCTTTATTTTTATTTATTTTAAATTGACGTAAATATATAAATTTAATCCATTAAAAAAAATACTGAACTGTGGAGTTGTTCTTAGCAAAAGACACTTGGAGTTTAAATGAAATAAAAAGTAATATCTATCCATTCATCCATTATCTTTTACCCGCTTCTTCCTTTTTGGGTTGTGGAGGTCACCAGTGCCCATGTCCAGCAGTCACTGTGCGAGAGGTGGGGGACACCCTGGACAAGTCTCCAGTTCATCACAGAGACACATAGAGACAAACAAGACAAGCAACCATACACTCTCTCACACACCTAGAGACAATTTAGAGTCACCAATCAGCCTAACGTGCATGTTTTTGGTCTGTGGGAGGAAACCGGAGTACCCGGAGAAAACCCATGCATGCACGGAGAGAACATGCAAACACCACCCAGTAAGGCCCCCGGACCGGGATTTGAACCAGGGACCTGCTCGCTGAGAGGCAGCAGCTTTACCAACTGCGCCACCGTGCTGCCCCTTAAAAGTAATTGAAATTAGATATTTTTATTTCAGGCTGAGACAGCTCTAAAAGACCGACTTGTCTTTTTATGGGACTTTTTTTTTTAAATGTATTTTTATGCAGTTAAATAAGGTGAGTATTTTTTTTTTCCTCTAAGGAACATGAATGTTCATAAAATGAGACAATACAAGAGTTAAAGTAGCACATCCGAGCGCTACTTGAAGTTTTTATATTTAAATCGGAGACATTCCTATTTTTGTACACTTGGCTTTGTGACTAAGCCTCGCTTTACTGTTTGTGTTATAAATTATGGGGATGTAATTTCCTTTTTGTAAGCGTTAGGCCAACTGTCAGACAGAAATATGAATGTGTCAAAACATTGTTTGTTACAAGAACTGAGTTTGTTTGGAGCAACAGGTTGCCGAGTGTCGGGAGTACAGAAGTGTATATTTCACCATTTCAGGAATAAAATGTTTCTGGCTTTGGGGTGTTTTTGTTATCTGAATAACCTGCAAGATTCATTTAAAAAACAACTTTTTATGTACTTTTCCTGCTTTGACCTTTATTATTGACTTCTTCTTTTACCAACACACTATCATAGAGTCTTTCTGCACTACGTGCACAAAGAGGAAACTCATTTTTATCCTGATGCATGCTCAATAATCCAGGTAGAAAAATCTAAAAAAAGTTAAATCTGGTCCTCTGGACATTTAAAAAAAAAAGTAGAAACGTTTCGTCTTTCATCCGAAAGACTTCCTCAGTCTGAGGTGCTGTATTCAGCTCAGTCTCTTAAATAGCACCTTCTCAGAGTGGATCAACCAGTTTGCTGCTGACAACCAAAACCAGCTGATCACATGCTCAAGAAGGACCATCAGCTTAACGATGGATCATTAGCACACTGATGGCTGTTTACTGTTCACAGGAGGTTGAGTGATAAAAATTGCTTCTGAAAAAAAAATTACTTTTTTTTTTTTTTTTTTTTTAATGTCCAGAGGACCAGATGTAACTTTTTTAGAAACTCGTTTTTATTCTTGGCCTCCGCTTGACATTTTCGTCTCCAGTCTGTTTTCACATGAGGCAATAACTTGGCTGTTTTCTGTTGCAAATGTAAAACTAAAAACATTTATTATTAGAAGTACTGTAATTACCAGCATTCCAGGCTGAGGCGGGTTCAGAACGTTACTCAGAAGTCAAGACAAGTTGTTACAGTCACAATACTGGATACATTTAATTTAGATTAAATAATAAAATAAAATATGGTATCTTGATCACGTTTTTAAAAAATGTGATCAATAATCCATGGACATTTTTATTTTTAATTTTCACAGATGTGGAAAACTTTCAGACATCAAACAATAGCTCAGATCTGTTGAGGTGGGGTTCTGTGGGATTTTTGTAAACAATAAATAGCTTACCTGTCAAAGGTAGCTGTTTTTAGGCAACAACTTCAGTTCTGAGAAGTACTTTAATTCCTACCAAAGTCAGAAACTGAACTAGCAAACAGCTAGCTAAATGCTAATAGTAGCAAAACACTTAAGTAAAAGCTGCAAAAGGCAAGTAAAAAGTGGCAAAAGTGTAGCTAAAAGTAGCAAATGAATTGCTTAAAGTAGAAACTGTAGGTAAAAGTTGGAAAAGGGTACCTAAACACAGCATAGTCATTAAAAGTCATTAAAAGTAGCTAAATGATGGTCAAAAGTAGCAAATGAGTCTCTAAATGTCGCAAATGCATATCTAAAAGGTGCAAAAAGCAAAAGCTTGAAAAACTAAGAATTAGGATTTTAAAAAAAGCAGCAAGAGTGCTGAAGCAGATGTCAACGAGTTCAGTGTTTTCAAAGAAACAGAAGACATCTCAATTTTTGTAAGGAAAATATTTGCAAATATAGTTTAATATTTTTACACGTATAAAAGTCGCATCTCCTGAATGAAGCAAACATTTTGAAGTTTTGATGAATAAAATAGCACTGAATATGCAGAAGTAGATAAATTGCAGGGGAAACAATAATCATAAAAAACAAGAAAACAATAGCAAATGCATTTACACAATAATACAACCATGTTTACAAACAGTGGCATTACAACACAGTAAAGATATTTTGTGTTTATACCCTCAGATATATTCCAAAATCAAAAAAATACTGCTACTCCTTTGCAATAAGTCTTTCCTTTTCTTTACTTGCTTTGTTCCCATGTACTTTAATTCTTGGAAGGTTTCTCAGTTTCCTGATGAGGAATGTTGACATCCGAAGCCAGTCGGGCAGGAAGAGCTCGAGCGCTGCACTCTACAGGATGATTGGGAAACAGAAAAGTTAAGGTTTTGCAGACGCCATATTGCATTTCTAACCCGTCGTTGGTCTAACCTGTAGGGCGTGAGACAGGCAGCCACTGGTGTAGCTGGAATGACCCACGGTTTTTATGGCCTCGCAGGCAAACGCAGGAGCACTCTTCACCAAACCGTTGACCGTCATGTTGTGTGTCATGTTGGTGGACACCATGAGGGGGGCCACACACTGAGAAAACATGATGGTAAAGAAAAACATCAGGACATTTGGACTGTTTGTTATCCACTTGATGTTTGTTGGTAATTATTTGAGTTTGTGCCAGACTAAACCTCATTCAGCATTTCAAGTGTTAGGTACAAACTCCTTAAATCTTGCTGATGATTTAACTGACAAGTTTCAGGTATTTCTGTATTGAAACTGTGGCCCATGACACAAAACAAATCACCAACAAAACCATTGCTTTTGCCAAGTGTCATTGTTTAAGGATTATTGAGGATCCACAACTTCTCCTCCACCATAATCCTCAACTCTTGCTCCCCTCAGGGCCGTGTTGAGTCAGAGTCAGAGAGGTTTTATTGTCAATTCAGATACGTACAAGTACATACTGAAATTAAACTGTGTTCCCCAGGATCACAGTGCATCACAGAACATAACTTCCTTAGAGAACTTTACTAAATGGCTTTTCTATATATGTGAATGTTCCTGTAACGTGCCCTGAGACAACTTTGTTGTGATTTGGCGCTATATGAATAAACTGAACTGAATTGAATTGAAATGTGCTAAACAAAACAACACACAGTACAATAATACAAACAAAACTATAATAAATGCAAAAAGACATGTGACCTATTCTAAACATTCTAATCTGAACAAGTAATTAAGAGACAGAACTAGAGACATGTTGGTTAGTACATGTATAGGTGGAACTTTGAATTTTGGGGAGTGGTGGCGCAGAGGTTGGAGAAGGTGGGCCTCTGATCGAAAGATCGCCGGTTCACGCCTCGGTACCAACAACATCAAAAATGTGGGTGGGGTAGGTGAAGCACCCACACTTGCCCCCACCCTCATTCACCCCACTCTGGGCCCCTGAGCAAGGCCCTTAACCCCCATCTGCTCCATAAACAGGCCTCTCTTGAAAATGAGTTCTCGTGGCTCATTGAGACTACCTGTATAAATAAAGGGTAAATAGAAAATAAAAAGAACTGTACATGAGGTAGAAACATGTTCTGATATGCCCCCTCCTATTCACTCTGCTCACATATGATTGTGCAGCTACCCATCCAGGCTGTCATATTGTAATGTTTGCAGATGGTAGAGTGGTGGTGGGATGCATCAAAAACAATGAGTCAAGCTACAGGCAGGAGGTGGAACACCTGGAGAGCTAGTGCAAAAGAAGAAGACAAAGGAGATGATTGTGGATTTCAGAAGGAGCGACAACCCCCCCCCCCCCCCCCCCTGCACATAGGAGGATGCAGTGGAAGTGTGGACTCCAAGTACAAGTACTTGGGTGTACACCTAAATGACAACCTCAGCTGGGCAACAACACCACCAGCCTGATCAAGAAAGCTCATCAGAGACTCTACTTCCTCAGGCGGCTGAGACCAGCTGGACTGGGAAACTCAGTCCTCACCTCCTTCTACAGGTGTGCAGTGGAGAGCATCCTGTGCTCCAGCATCAACGTGTGGCATGGTGGCTGCACAGCTGCAGAAAGAAAAGCTTTGCAGAGAGTGGTGAAGGCTGCACAGAAAATTGTTGGAGTCAGTCTTCCCACCATCACAAACATCTACACCTCTAGATGCAGGAAGAGGGCCACCTGCATCATGAAGGACCCCACTCACCCAGCACACACACACTTTTTGCCCCGCTCCCCTCAGGAAGGAGGTTTAGGAGCATTAAGTGTAGAACAACTAGACTGAGGAGCAGCTTCTACCCTGAGGCTGTTAGACTCATGAATCTCTAACCAGAATAATCACTGTGAAAAAAAATTTACATCATGTTGCTGCTGATCTTTCATGTTGCTGTGTTCGTGCATGCTCATCTGCTCACACAGACTCATGTTCGTGCTGCTGTTCAAACTAATGGTTTTATGCTATTTCAAGCCAAGATTCAACCTGTCTGCTGGATTCCTTAGATGGAGAACTTTACTAATAGACTTTTTTTTATGTATGTGAATGTTTCTTTAAAGTGCCCTGAGAAAACTTTGTTGTGATTTGGCACTATATAAATAAACTCAACTGAATTGAATTGCTATTAGTGCTTAGTGTATATTTATCTGATGTTTTTCTTAGTTCATATCTTAGATCTTATTACTGTTTTTCTTTTACATTTTATTATTGGATGTAACTGGGGGCCTGTGTACATAATCTTGTTCCACCACATGAGATGTGAATGACAAATAAATCTCTCTGAACCTCTGAATAAGGTTTTCTCAAATCCTTATTTATCTAAATTCAGCTGTACACTTTTATGTAACCAAACGACTTGTTTACCTGAACAGTGATTCCTTTTGACTTGTACTCTGCATGCAGACACTGAGAGAAATATGTAACAAAAACCTGCAATAAAACACATACCATACAGACCCATGTGTAGATCGTGAGCCAGTCAAATATTATGTACATGTAAGTATTTGACAAATTAATTACCTTGGACGCAGAGTAAAGAGCCAACAAAGGCTGAGGACGGACACCCATTTCAGATGAAATATTGATGATCAATCCCTTTTCTCTGGGAAGGAGATGAATGACAATCGATCATAAAATCATTTAAATCTCATCATTCCATAACTTTTGTAAACTCTGATGCACGTGAATACCTTTCCACCATGCTTGGAAGAACCAATCGGGTCATCTGAGTTAAGATATAACACAAAATCATTATTTCATCTTTTTATGCAGTTAGTGGATGATACAAAACATTGTGGTCTAGATCTCATACCTGAGGAACAGACAACATGTTGCAGTTGATAATCTGAGTGATTTTCTGTTGAGAACAAACACAGACTTGTTCAGAGTCAGTTAGGACCAATAACAGACTTGGTTTAAGTAAATCATCTCCTCAGAAATAAAAGTAAACATCATACCTCTTCAGCTTCTGGTATTTCCAGAAAATAGGCAAAATTATCAGAACAGATCATTCCCACGTTGTTAACTGTGTGGGTTACAACACAAAGATTCTCGTTAATTAACACCTCTGGTCAATATCTTTCTTAATCATATGTATGTGTATGTATGTAATGGTAAGTATTGGCGGCCATGACTGACAATAAAAAAGAACATCCCACACATTTGGAATTTAACACAGCAGTGTCTTGTAGCTATACAAACCTATTTGAGTGACTGTCTCTACCACATCGTTCACACAGAAAGTGATTCATTGGCGGTTTTGGTTTGACTTTTTTTTTCCTGCAGTTCACACTTTTCAGCTGGAGTGGATTTTAATTTCTCTTCACCTAACTAAAGGTGCACTACCAGTGCTTGTTATTTTCTGCCATCAATTCTCAGGACTTTATATCTACTTAAAGAGCCTTCAATTTTAGAGACGACTTCATTCCTGAGATGTGGAACCGATGGATCTGTGTTCACAGGGATTCGCCCAGCCTCCATTCGGTGAACATGGCTTAGCCACCAAAGTTTGCATTGTCTAGGTCAAGCCAGTACCTCAGTGTTTGCCACCATGTCTTTCCAAGAAATGATGAGAATTTAGTGGAGACATCTCAGCTAAAACAACTTAAGGCTGCTTTCCTGTCTCGTGTATGTGGCCCATGCTTCACTGCCTTTTAGGAGTGTGCTAGATTCACATCTTGTTTCTTATGGTAGAGTTGGAGTTTAACCACATACAATACCAGTCAGTCACTTGTGAAGCCAGTCACAAGTCTTTTGTATGTATGTATGTATGTATGTATGTATGTATGTATGTATCCTTTATTTAACCAGGAAAATAACTCATTGAGATTAAAAACCTCTTTTCCAGGAGTGACCTGGCCAAGACAGCAGCATAAAACATACAACAAATCCAAAATACTAAACCAATTACACAAATACATATCCAGGTGCAATCACAATAATTACACATCACAGCAGTTACAGCAGCAGTTTTGAAATTGGTATTTTGTTGTTGAAAGCTGAAATCGAATGGGAATCATTAGTATACAAACAACGGGTGAGCAACATTTTTTTTCCAGAGGGCCAAATCAAGATACACTACATTGCCAAATTATCGGAACCAGGTGTTCCAATCTCTTCCATGGCCACAGGTGTATAAAATGAAGCACCTAGGCATGCAGACTGTTTTTACAAACATTGTGAAAGAATGGGTCGCTCTCGGGCGCTCAGTGAGTTCCAACATGGAACTGATAGAATGCCACCTATGCAACAAATCCAGTCGTGAAATTTCCTCTCTCCTAAATATTCCACTGTCAACTGTCAACTGTATTATAAGAAAATGGAAGTGTTTGGGAACAACAGCAACTCAGTCACAAAGTGGTAGGCCACGTAAACTGACGGTGCGGGGTCAACAGATGCTGAAGCGCATAGTGCAAAGAGGTCGCCAACTTTCTGCAGAGTCAAACTACAGACCTCCAAACTTCATGTGGCCTTCAGATTAGCTCAAGAACAGTGAGCAGAACTTCATGGAATGGGTTTCCATGATCGAGCAGCTGCATCCAAGCCGCACATCGCCAAGTGCAATGCCACGCATCGGATGCAGTGGTGTACAGCCCGCTGCCACTGGACTCTAGAGCAGTGGAGGCGCATCCTCTGGAGTGACGAATCGCGCTTCTCCATCTGACAATCTGGTGGACGAGTCTGGGTTTGACGATTGCCAGGAGAACGGTACTTGTCTGACAATTGTGCCAAGTGTAAAGTTTGGTGGAGTGGGGATGAGGGTGTGGGGTTGTTTTTCAGGAGCTGGGCTTGGCCCCTTAGTTCCAGTGAAAGGAACTCTTGACTGCTTCAGTATACCAAGACATTTTGGACAATTCCATGCTCCCAAATTTGTGGGAACAGTTTGGAGCTGCCCCCTTCCTCTTCCAACATGACTGTGCACCAGTGCACAAAACAAGGTCCATAAAGACATGGATGGCAGAGTTTGATGTGGATGAACTTGACTGGCCTGCACAGAGTCCTGACCTCAACCCGATAGAAGACCTTTGGGATGAATTAGAGCAGAGACTGAGAGCCAGGCCTTCTCGTCCAACATCAGTATGTGATCTCACAAATGCGCTTCTGGAAGAATGGTCAAAAATCCCCATAAACACACTCCTAAACCTTGTGGACAGCCTTCCCAGAAGAATTGAAGCTGTTCTAGCTGCAAAAGGGTGGACCAACGTCATATTGAACCCTATGGATTAGGAATGGGATGTCACTTAAGCTCATATGTGACTCAAGGCAGGTGAGCGAATACTTTTGGCAATGTAGTGTATTAAAAGCAATTGAAGGGCCGCACAAAGTGTGGGAAAATGCATTTTCTATAAGACAGATAATCTGGAAGACTTTTTTCAGGCTTTTTCTTGTCGTAGCATAATTAGCATGCTTCCCCCATTCCCCCCACCCCCCCACACACACATACTCACACTCACATCTGATATAAACCATAGATTGTTGACAAACACATGTAGTTTCAAAATAATAATTCTTAATTGTCCTTTTCTTCTCCATTACCAAGAATTCCAATCTCCAGGCCTTGAAGTTCCTTGGCTATAGCAGGGTAAATGTTGCAGCCATCCGTGAAGTCCACTCGAATAGTGCGAGTCTTTCTATCATATTCATTTTCTGAGGGGAAAAAAAAGTGTGTTTGAATTTGTTTTGCTGCTCATTTTACATATAGAAAAGACAAATATGTTTACTGATGAGGACAAGACATCCAAACATGCATCATATATGCATTTACGGTAACTCACCAATCTCTTTGGCAACTATTCGCAGCTTATCTTCAGATCTGCTGATCAAAACAACATCCAGACCTCTCTTGGCCAGCTAAAGGGAGACATGCAGACAGGTTGTTTGGCTGTTTTTAGATCCTGCAGTAGTTAGTATGGAGACCCTGTGTAAGACAACTTAACATAAAGACACAATTAGTTTTTAAATTAATATTTAAAGGTAAACTCACCTCAAAGGCATACGCTTTACCAATACCAGATGTGGCACCAGTTACAACTACATAAACAACAGAACATATAGTCTATGTTAGGTTAAAAGGGACAGATTAACACTATGTTCTATAATTATTTTTGTTATTGTCATCATTATTATGTCCAAATACTTCTTTTAAAAGTCTTTGGTTAATCCAAAATGCTGCTGCCAGAGTCTTAACTGTTGGTAGGAGAGATCATATCTCTCCAGTTTTAGCTTCTCTTCATTGGCTCCCTGTCAAATTTAGAATTTAATTCAAAATCTTTCTTCTAACCTACAAAGCTCTCAACAACCTAGCTCCATCTTATATTTGAGATCTTATTGTTCCATATTTTCCCAACAGAGTACCTCACTTTCAGACTGCAAGCTTACTCATTTTTCCTAGAGTTTCCAAAAGCAGAATGGGAGGAAGATCTTCCAGTTATCAGACTCCTGTCTTGTGGAACCAACTTCCAGTTTCTGTCTGTGAGGCAGACACATTGTCCAGTTTTAAGACTGGACTTAATACTTTCCTTTTTTGATAAATCATATAATTAGGGTAGTCTTGTCATGCTGCCTTAAGCTTAGATTACTGGAGGAAAAAAATGACTTAATTTCCTTAAATGAATTGTTAAATCTGAATAGTTTATTTGATGTTATTTATATCTTAACATGTGATTCTTGACCTGCCATCGTGTATCTATTCTTCCTTCCCGTTCCTCTCAAACCCAGCCGGTCGAAGCAGATGGCCTCTTGTCCTGAGCCTGGCTCTGCTAAGTTTCTTCCTCATGAGGGAGTTTTTCCTTTCCACTGTCGCCTTCGTGCTTGCTGAAGATGAGAATTTGGTGATGGAGTTAAATTCAAAGCAGTCTTCTCTTCAGATAAATGAAGTTAAATTATTTTTATATATATTGAATGTTTCTGTTCAGTGCCCTGAGATGACCATCTCTTGTGATTTGGTGCTATATAAATAAACTGAATTGAATTATTATTACTAGTAATAGTAGTATTAGGCAGCACGGTGGCGCAGTTGGTAGAGCTGCTGCCTCTCAGTGAGCAGGTCACCGTGGTTCAAATCTCCGCCGGGTGGTCTTTCTGGGTGGAGTTTGCATGTTCTCTCTCTGCATGTGTGGGTTTTCTCCGGGTACTCCGGTTTGGCTGATTGGTAACTAAATTGTCCTGAGTGAGAGTGAATGGTTGTTTGTCTCTATGTGTCCCTGCGATGGACTGGAGACCTGTCCAGGGTGTCCCCTGCTTCTCGCAGGCTGGACATGGGCACCGGTGACCCCCGCGACACGAAAAGGAAGAAGCGGGTAAAGATGATGGATGTATTATAATTATTAAAACAAATACGTTTATTCAGCAAACAAATTATCACAGTCGCTTTTTTCCCTCCAGTTTGAAAGCAGTCTTTTTTTAGGCTGTGACAAAATCAATAAAAATATATAGAAACATTTAATTTATATGCGAGACTAGAGATGTGACGTCCACCAACAATCCAGATCGCTTGAACGGCGAACCGTAAGAAGCAAGTTGAAGACCGTAAAGAGCTGTTCCTAGTTTTACTTTATTTCTCCTCATAATTTCTTCATGCTTTCCTCTCCAAATGCCGACAATCGTCCCTCCTTCACTTTTTCACCATGAGGAAGGAAAACAGGCTAAGACAAGGAGTTCAGCAGTAGGAGGGTAGGGCAGGTTTCCCACTTTACAAAATCCATGCCCTGATGACGATCATCATCACGTACGGCGTAGATAATGATATACTTTGTATATGATGACGTCGCTGTCAATCGAAAGTGAATGGCTCTCTGGAGCAACCGGCTCGTCTGGATCTGGTTCCCTTCAAAAAGCTGTTTGGCTCATCTCTAGGCGGGACGTATTCTGGTTTAGTCACCATCCGGATGTCCGTAGACTTTCTCTTGTCCCGCCTATAACTTCTGATCGGCTCAAAATAATTTGATGAACCTTCATACACACATGCATCATCACTAGATGGAATGTCACATTGACTTTTCATTACCTAAGCTTCAAGGTCACAAGTCAAGGTCAAATGTTATACAAGATCTTTGCTTGTCCGAAGCATTGCTACAGATCTCTGCCGCTGAATAATAGTTTGTCAACGGGTGTCCAAAGTGCCGTATTTGGTACTTTTACAAAACCTGTAGGCAAAAATCTACATTTTAAAGTGCTTTATTGTTAAAATGCTCTCTAAGTATAAATTGTAAACAACAGTGGACCAAGACATTTCTTAAAGTAAGTCAATCAATTGCCAAACTCCTTGTTCAGATGGTGGAGTACTCCATGGAGAAAAGAAGAGGATGAAGTAGACTGCTATTTCTAGACTAAAAGACAGAAATATTCTATCAAGAAGGAATGGGGAAAGCTTGTATAGCCCCCATCAGACCAGCTGGAGGGCATATCAGTGTAGCAAATAACAGAATACCAAAAAATAGATGTCTTTAACAAAAATCAACTCTAATCTCGGGAACTTATTTCTTTTTTATCATCCCAGTGAAACACGTCTTCATGGGTTCATGCGCTGTCAGGTTACACATTCAGTCACAGTAAAGAAAAATAAAAACATAAAATGTTGCTTTTCTGTAGATATTATTAGACTTTACCTGCCCACCGTCCATACGTCCTAAAATCCACCTGCCAATGCTCAGACAAGATAAACGCTCTGAGTCCACACCAACATCTCCAAGTGAGTTTCATCAGGTAGAAAGCAAGAGTTAATCCCCCCAAGAAGGCCAGGACATCAGTCGGTGAAGTCCTGCAGTGTAGCTCTGGGTTGAGCAGCATGTCTGTGTGGTTTCTAGAAGGTGCCTAGTGCTAATTTCATAGCAGAAGAAATTAAAATGTTTGGCACTGCCCCACCCCTTTCCTGAAGCTTGTTGTGGTGGTGTGTTTATTAATATGGAGAGTTTACTGTTCCCTATTTTAAACAGCTGTTTCCACAAAGAAAGTTATTTAATTTAGTCCGTAGGCTTTAGCTTAGGGTCACGGCAGCATGTTCGATCAAATATCCTGCCCCCCCCCATTGCAAACATGCGGCTTGCATCTAATCACAACCAAAGCATTGACTCATTAGGTGGTGATAAAAGCAGTAATGTACACACTAATGTGACACAGCTGATAAGTCTGTGCTGCTGTCACAGTCTGTCAGTTCTTCATGTCAGCAGAAACTGTCCTACTCTTTGGTTCAGAATCAGTTTCTGTACAGAGATAGGCTGAAAACGCTCTTGATTATAGGCCTGTGTGATAATGTTTGTGATTGTTCACACATATCGTGCGTACATGTGCAACCCAGTAACCCAGTTGATTGAAAAATGCTGATAAACCATTCAGATGTTGTTGTTTTGTGGAAATAATAACAACCCCTAAATACCTTTTAATATCCCTATTGTTGGGTCATAACTTTATATTTTTAATCTTCAATTTAAAAAAAAAAGTCTCCATCTTTATATCTATTTGCAGTAAGAAATATTTTACGGACCTTTTATTCTGTAATTAAAATACAGTAAACTGTGATTTATACAAAGTATGAAATGAAATTGTAGAAAAGAAAAAAAACGTGTTTATGATAGAGGTCACAATCTAATTTTATCTGATCTTGTTGAAGATTTGTTTTAGTACCTTTTTTTGGTACAATGAACTCTTTACAAACTAAATATGTTATTAAGAGAGTAAATATGTATTTATTTCTTAAAGTGGCTTCCCAATAAATACACAAAAAAGTTTAAATCATGTCATCTAAATTACATGATTAAACTTTTCTGTGATTTATCTACCTGGATGATTGAGCTTACACTTTTCTGCTTCCCAAAAAAAAGCTTTTTTGTTGTTGTTTTGTTGTTGTTTGTTTAAATCGAACCTCCGCAGAACCACCAGGTGGTGGTGTTGTATTTTGACAAGCCACAATTCAACCAGAATTTGACAACACAAGGAAGTCAACTTTAAAAAATCTCTGTGTTTTTGTGTGAAATCCTCCTGAATACCAGGAAAAATAAATATTGTCCATGTCCAATATTTTATTATTCATCAGTAGAAAGGTACCAAAGCCCACCCTTTCAGATATGGTATCACTGAAAAGCCCTAAATGTTCTGTGTAGAGAGCAAAAGGAGTTAATTCAGTATGCTGTGGATGGGAGATATCCAGGTTTACAAGTGGAGGACAAATTTGAACTGCTGGTACTCAGGAGGTTAAAAATAAACAGCCATCCATTAACTTTACTTACACAAAAATCGGATTTTTACAAAAAATTCTACAAGGATAAAATGGGCCTGTGATCTCAACATACCACAACTAATTTGGCAGCAATAGGTAATATTATGAGCAGAAAGTAAAACGTAAACAAAAAAAAAAGGTTAAATCATGTCATCTGGACAAGTTTCTTTAAGGGAGAAACGTTTCGTCTTGCATCCGAAAGACTTCATCAGTCTGATGCCTGCCAACCCAGATCTGAATCACAAATAGCACCTCCTAACCCAAAGAAACTAGCTTACACATGCAACAAAGGGGACCATCCATCCAAAACAATCAATCATCATGTACAACAATCAAATGTTTTAGGCCAAATGGCCAACTTGCAACTCACAGAAACAGCCTGAGGACACTAAGACCAAAATGTTTTAGAAAAAAAAGGTTTGTAAGCTCAGTCATCCAGGTAAATAACAACAAAGGTTAAATCATGTCATGATGATTGATTGTTTTGAATGGATGATCCCCTTTTTGCATGTGTAAAGCTAGTTTCTTTGGGCTAAGAGGTGCTATTTGTGAGACAGATCTGGGTTGGCAGGCCTCGGACCGATGAAGTGTTTCAGATGAGAGACGAAACGTTTCTCCCTTAAATAAACTGGTCCAGATGACATGATTTATCTACCTGGATGATTGAGCTTACAAACCTTTAAACATAAACACATTTTCGACTCGTAATCGGTAGTATGTTATCAGCTGCTTTCACTAAGAATAAACAAAGGCAAAATAAAACATATTTCAAAACCAAGAAGTCTTGCTGCCCTCAGTGGTTCTGACATTATTTAATAGATGTAAAGTATAAATAAATTGATGACGCTGCATCCTCCACTGATTCCCAATCCTGGTCCTCGAGGGCCACGATCCTGCATGTTTTAGATGTTTCTCAGCATTAACACACCTTATATGAATAAATGAGTGATTAAAAGGCTTCTGCAGAACTTGAAGACCTGCTGAAGTGCAGGGAAACGACTAAAACTTGCAGGATAGTGGTCCTTGAGGACCAGGATGTGTCACCTATTTTCTGTTTGACATGTTGAATCAGTAAATTGGGCCAAATAACTAGTTGAACGTTCAGACTTCTGAGAACATTTTTCTATGTACAGGGTTTGAAGCATGCCATGGTCTAGTTCTTTAATCTGTGAAATTCTAAAAGATTTCATTTACAGAATTATACACTTTTCCCCAGCATATTGTGCAGCGTGTTCTTCAAAACGATGGAAAGCAAACAGATAGAAGACAAGAATAAATAAATGTCACAACAGATGAACAGTCTGAACGTCCTAATGATGGAAAACTGACACAGGACCTGCAGGGTCCATCATCCTTGAATTGCTCATCTGCAAGCCAAGTTTTCAGCTTTAACCTCATAGATTCGCCTTTTTTTTTGGTGCTAAACTACTATTTTGTATGCCAGACTGTGTTATCATTGTTGCTTCTTCATAGCTTAAGACAACAAATAAGAACAGTTACAGGCTGTTGCAACAACATGACCGAGGAACCTGTTTAAAACTGGCTCTTTGCCAAGTTCCTTGAGTTTTTTGTGTTCATCAAACAGAAACATATTTTATCACAGCATTAAAGACTAAAAAGTGAAAGAACGATCAGATGTGCAACTTTTTGTTATTATTAAAAAGTGATCAATTGTATTTCCCAAAAGTGAGCACATTTCTCATCAGCCGTTTTTTTTAAGGATTAGCTGCTGCTGTTGTCTCGAGGGAAGTTAACGCCGGCCCACTTTTAAACAACTAATCAGTTTTTCCCGCCCTCTCTGCACATTTATCAACAAACAGAATGTACGTCAAACTTACATCTACTCTTTGGCCTATATTTACTATCAAATCAAGACAAAACTCTTCCTCCGATGGTTTCATCTCGGGCGATGAGAAAAAGAATAGATTTGAAATGACTGCAACAACTGCAAGAATTATCTTAAAGTCTTGGGTTTTGGATCCTGATCCTGAGCTGCAGCAGTAGCAGGTCTGAGTTCTCTGTGCCAAGGATTCCCAGCATTTCATGAAAACAACATTCTCTGAGTTTTCCCTGAGTAAATCCTGAAATTCCAGAAGATAATACATCTGCACAAAACACACAACTGTAGCCTACGATACATGCATACAGCAGTTATTCCCAA